ATATATTTTTCTTATATATTTAGTTATAGAGGACGTCCAAATTATTACAACCGTAACTATTCTGTTGGTGGAGGTTATAATCGTGGATACCGAGGTGGTAATAACTACCGTAATCGCACTAATAATCGCATGGGTGGTACAAATGGTAAACATTTTCTTTTAAATATTTTATTCATTTTTGTTAATTTGTATTTTTTTTTTAGATATGGGTAACTCGAATGAAAATAATGCTGCACCAGCAAATGACAACAATGCAGCTGCTAATTTAAAGAGTCAACAACCACAAACACCAATTGCAACCGGTACAGCCACAAATCCATCAAGCGCTATTTCCTCTGCAACAAAAAAGACAGTTGCACAAGAAATAAACACCCAAGCGCATATGACGCCGGTATTAGCTGGTAAATAATTTTTTTTATCTGTTCTTTATTTTGTTCTTTTTTTGCGTAAAGCAAATATTTATTACAAAAACCATATTTTATTTATATATGGCATTGTTACATTTCACAATACGTGATTCAACTCTACTTTCTTAAGTTTTTGCTTTTGTACATGTTTTTGTACTTGTGGGTTTCCAACCTTCTGGTGCAAGAAGGCAAGATAAAGACTGACGTTTTTGTTAAAAATTCTTTAATTTTAAATTTTCTTTCATAGCAGATTTATTGTGAAAATTGTCGCATTATTGCAAAAATTATTGCATATTGCATATTGCATTGTCTCACAAGTTTGCATATTTCAATTAAATTTCACACTTTATTATACGGTCTATCACTTAAATTAATATTTCATTACTTTATTAAAAGTTTTTTTTGTTTTTGTTTATGTTTTCGTTTTCATAAAAGTCTATGTTTTTTAAAGTATTCTTTCCCAAGCAGTTTATATGTGATATAGTCACTTTTATTGTGTAAACAATGTAATAAACAAAATTTTATTTTTAATGAAAAATTTATAAGTAATTTTCAAACTGTTTCTTTATTCAAAGAAATAGGAAAAAGCATATATCATTATTATCATTAATTGTAAAACATCTACTTCATCTTCTTTATATAAATTGGTAAGGAATTAAAAATATTAATGAGCAAATATACATTTTATATGTATACTATAGGGTGCGATTTTAGAATGATAACGTTTCGGATTTTACGGGAACAATATAGCATTTAGCCGAACAAATCTTTTATAAATCAATTTTTTTGTTAAAACCAGGGATGTTTTAAATAAATGTTCTGATTTTTAATCAAGTAAATACTTAATTCTAAATTATTTAATTTGATTTTTAACTTCTTTTTGTTGAAAAGAACCTTAATTCTTAATATAAACTATTGGTTTCAATAGAGAGGTTTTTTTTTTCTCGAACAGTAATTAAATTATTTATTTAAAATAATACTAATGTTTATATTAACTGCTTTTTTCCTTTTCTAGGTCAATAATATTTGCGAGCTTATGAATTTAAAAAATTATTGTTGTAAATAACAGCAATAAAGAAAAAATAAAAAATACTTTTGAGCTAAATGTATTTTTAACTGTTGACGTCCTTCTCTCCCATCTGAAAAATAAACACATTATATTGCAAAATAAAAAAAAAAAAAATTAATAAACGATATGGAAAACTACAATGGAAGGTGGTATCCAACTACCATTAACTGGCGCAAAAACAACGATAGAGGAACTGCAACAAATTGAAAATTGAATATATTATTACATAAAAGATTATAAAAAGTTCAAATTAGAAAAAAAAATCCCACATAAAAAGTTGTAAAAGTTAAGAGTTATATATATATAAATAGAGCATAGAGGAGCAAACTTTAATTGAATTAAAATACAGAAGAAATACAAAAAGCATTTAAAAAATATTTAAGAAACGACTTTTCATAGATTTATCTATATATATACGTATACTAACTATATGTTGAGCTGAAGTACGAATTATTTTAATATTGTATTAGAGATGCGGGGGGAAAATTTATTACAAAGAGAGACACATTGAGAGAGAGAGAGAGAGGCATAAAGAGAGAGAAAGAGTAAGTAAATTTTAAGTTAATGAAGTGTGAGCAAAAATTACAGTTGGTATTTTAAAAGTATTGTATATGCCAATGAAAAAAATTGTTAAATCAAATAATTGAATATTATTAATTACCTAATAAATTAATAAAACCTATAAAGCTAACCATAAAGATTCTAACAATTTTATGTTCGCATATTTGTTGCGAGTGTGTTTACATTGGTAGTTCGCTCTCTTAAATAAATAAATTTTTAACTCATATAATCCATAAATTGTAAACAAAAAAAAAAAACGTAGAAATTTAGATGTAAACTATAAGTGTACGTTTTATTAATGTTTCTTGGTTTTAAAAGAGAAGGGGAAATAAGAGGAAATGATCTAAAAAAAAAACAAAAAATAATAGAAACAAACTTTTGCCGTTGTAGCTAAAAAATAACTAATTTAAAACAAAATATTTATTTTATTATTATGAAAAGTGAGCGCCTAAAATATATGAAAAATTAAAAATAATAAAACAAAAAAGATTTGAAATTAACTTTAGACAAATTGTAAGTACTCAAATTTTGTATGAAAAGTGAGAATAAATTAAATTTCATTAAAACAATTTTTTTTGTTTAATAACTCCTCTATAACTCTAATTAATCTTCAAATATATTTATATATATTTTTAGAAAACGATACATTTTAAATAAAGTCTTATATTGTAAATGTGCTCACTATCATCCACACAATATGCAAACACATACAAACAAGTAACCACGAAATTAAAAAAAATGTATTTGAAACAAAAAAATTTGAAAAAAAAAAGAAATGAAAATCAATACAAACATTTAAAAGATTTATTAAATAAATTAAAATAAAACAAATATTTGTAATGCAAAAATGAAATTTACTCTTTTATTTGAAAAATGTTTGTAAAAAAAAAACTAGAAAAAAAATGCAAGATACAAAATCTATAAAAACTGTAAGTGAATATTAGAATTATGAGAAGCAAATTAAAATGAATTTGTTATAACAAACAAAAACAAAAAAAATAAAACTAAAAAAGGAATTTTATAAAGGCAAAATAAAAACAAAAATAAACAGAAAATAATTTTGCGAAAATATCATTAATTTAGACTTAAAGAGAAATGAGAATTAAAACATTTGCTTTTACTAAATAAAGCAAAGCAAAAAAATTAAAAATAAAAAAAGAATTAAAACTAATTTAGTGAAAAAGATTTTTGCATGAAAATTAATATGCAAACATAAAAAAAAAAAATACATAAATCTATTTATACGCATAATATACATACAAAATATAAGAAATAAAACCAATTTTTAAATTCTTACCAATAATAGTAAGTTCGTTGAAATAGTTTCAAAAAGATTGATTTCTTTATTGTTATATAATTAAATAAATACAAAAATAATATATTAAAGTGACAGAAGTATTTAATAAACAAAATTTAAAGTTGTAAGTTTGTATGGTAATTTTTGACGAATTTGTTTCAAAGCAACCAAATTATAAAAAAAAAAATAATTAGTTTTATAACAGAAATTACTTTTTTACATTAAAACCTAAAGGATTATACATGAAAATAATTTTTATTAGTTTACTTTTGTTGCCTGAACTTACACAATAGATAATGTGATCACTTTATTAAATTTAATTTATTTTACTAAGTATTTTTTGTGGGTTCAATATCACTTTAAATTAATTGTAAAAAAATATCACTGATCTCGTTGTTGTTGTGAGAACCTATGAGAACCTAAAAGCAGATAACACGAAAGGCTTTACAAGACGAATACATAGGTACTGATCTCGTTAATTTTTCTTAACTCTATCATAATTGAGGTTAGGTTAAAATATCAGTTGGTCTAATTTAGTTCTTCACTGAAACAAGTAACCTTAAATGTTACTTATGAAACCATTTCCGTATGATGTTCTTAATCTAAGCAATGTACAAATCTGTCAGAGAGTTTCTTATACATGTTCGCCTAAGACGCTTGCTCTGCTTCTAGCTAGAGCTGGAAATCTCAGAAGAGGCGTTCTTATTTGTTACACATCTTCACAATTCTTACAATACTTATAGAAGGAGCGTAACTAACTGGCTGACTGATATGTCTATTAAATTTTTACTATATATATAAATAATATAATATATATAGGTAATAATATAGGCTATTATTATTGCCCACTCCTCCATTCTTTCATTATACTCATTATCCTGCTGTTTACTATATTTCTATATCATAAAGTATGATAAAGTTCTTGCAATTAAAGAAAAAAATCAATTATTTTGGAAAGATTAGTTTACGTGAAACGGAAAGGTTGGGACTTTAGTTCGGACAAGGGAATTTTGATTAGGCTATACGAATTTTTATGTCACCTAAGGGAATTTTGTTTCGTCGACTAGGTGAATTTTAACTTGCCCATATGAATATTATGTCGTTTAGATCAGTTATTTAACGTGAACATGTAAGAACTAAGCCAGTATGGCTGTATGACAAGACTTGATATTATATTGGCTTAGAAATGTTCTTATTAAATATTGCTGGTCGTAACTTTCGTTGAAATATAAAAAAATAAGAGTGCTAACAATAAAAATATATTATTAATCTCATTTTAGTTTTTTAAAAATCTTTCAAATCTATATTAATTGTGTAACAGTACATCTGCTCTATGGGAGTCTAAAATTCTAATCATTACTTATCTACATTAATAAATTTCTTAAAAGACTTATACGTAAATAATGGATATATGAGTTAATGGATATATTTAGGTGGTAGCAAAAATTTTTAACAGGTCGTTACTTCAGTGTATACTATTATTAGTTCCTTGACGATTTTATACAAATATAATTAAGAATACTGTTTTATGCATTAGGGTTCCTAGTTAGAGCACTGGGTTTGTGGATTATTCTTATATTAACTGCTAACGAAAGATCTCAGAAAGTATTTAGAAAGATTTCTTACAGGATATACCTATATAACAATTTTTTATTGAAATACAATGGAAGTGATATAAATTAATAGTTTATTTAAATAATATATTCAATCAGAATTTAGAGACTCAGTTGTGTTCTGATGGAGATTTTATTCTAATATAAACTCCCTTAGCAGTTTATGTGTGAAAATTAAAAGAATAATTTTGTCAGCACTTATCGATTATCAGATTCGAAAAATACATTAAAGACCGTGCATTGAAATTGTTCAATATAATTGACAGTCACAATAATCCAACACTCAGCCTCCTGAAAATACACCGAAATCTGATAAACACAGGCAGATACAAAGACATCAGATCCATCATATTATAAAGCCTCGTATTCAGTTATTCTTAGTGTGACTCAAAACTGTCCACAGATAAAATAGAGTTTAGGTGTTGTATCACCAACTCAGACATCTGCATATCAATATATATATGACTTTCAGATCAAAATCAAAGCTAGAATGTTTTATATGAATACTTTCATTTAATAATCACATCGAGTAAAAATTGTTAAAGCTATTTCTATCTTATGTAGTAAACAATTATCTTTTTTTACAATGTTAAAAAATAAAGAGGTTTTTTCGAACAGTAGTGAACTACAACAACAAAAATTTTATTTTTTTATATTATTTGGATTAATTGAATTTTTGGCTGACCATACAGCTGTTTAGAGTATTGCCAAATATCCATCATGAATGGTCTTGGAAATAATTCTTATATTTAATTATTCGTAAATAATTATTTGTTTTTTTTTTAAACTGCAAGTTCCAGGACTCGGCCTCGGGTTAAAAATGTTAAAAAATAATAAACAAATACCAAACAGTGATTATATAATTCTTCAAAATGTTTTCTATTTTTATGAGTGTTTTTAAATTTTACTTTATATTATTATTTATTTATAGTGATGTGATTTTTTTTATTACTTTTATTACGTTATAATCGGATGAATTTTGAGAAACAATCTGTTTAAAATTTAAATTTTTAATGATCATATATTACCGAAATTATATTCCTTTTTTATTATTCTCCACATAACAGGGCAGAAATACTTAAATAATTTAATATTAAATATTATTTAATATTAATTGGAAAAGTTATTTATTTAATAAATTTAAATATTATTTATTTTCTCATGATCATTCTTTATGGTATTGTGTCCAAAATTGTTATAATTTACTTATATTAAATGGGAATAAATCAAAAATGTTTATATCGTAAATAGATTTTAAAATTGGTTGTAAGATTTGAAATAATTATTTTTTTTTTATGAGGAATATAAGTTCTATTATAACTATCAGTAATAGTCCTTCGACTTTAAATAGTTCATTAAAATTATTTATTATAATAATATTTTTTTTTTAAATAACTACAAAAAATAACTGGTTTGGTTGTGGAGACTACATTATTCGTCAAAGATTTTAATAAAGTGATTTAATAATTAGTTTCATTCAGGTTAAAAGTTATTTAAAAATTTTAGCTTTTAAAAATTTTCACTTTTATAAACTTTAACATTAACATTAACTTTAATATGTTTAATTTTTGTTAAAATCTGAATTAATTTTTAATTGTTCTAAGAAAAAATTGTAATCCAAAGGAAAAATATTACTTCTAAAGCCACTAACGCTTGTAATAAGAATGAGATAATACACATAAATAAATGCAAAACTAAATATGGAACCATATATTCAGATTTATATTATATAGAAAGTAAAACTAAACAAAAAAAAAAGAAATAAATTTTAAAATATTTTATGAATGGAATTTTATTGTTTGAATTTTTATTTATTTTTAGTGAAAAAATATAAAGCAATATAGGCAAACAGGACAAAGGAAATGGGGTGGGAACCTTGCCCACGTATAACATTTCCTAATAAAAAGAATAGGATTAAGCAAGTTTCCGGCTTGTTCAGAATTACCCCTCAATTTCTCGATTTCATTGCTCGTTTTTGTTCGTCAGTTTTTATAAAGGAGAATTTTCCAAATGTGGCCCACTCTGATCCACTTTCTGGATATGCCCATAAATATTAGATTGGGTTTAAAAAATATTAAATATTATTAGTGAAATTATAGCTTTGTTTAGGAATATAGATACACTGTGTTAGTACCGGCTATTAGAGTTACAAGGGACATCTGATTAATAAAAATTAATAAAAATCATCAGAAAAAAATGCTGTAACCGTTTTATGAAATGCAGTTCGTACTCCACTACATTATAACATAAGTAATATATTTATAATTATTTATTTAAGTAATAGGCTATTAAACCACCACGACCCAAAAGTTCAATTGTGCGTCTAAAGGCCCAACTAGGACAATTTTAGACTATTCATCTTGTTATTGTTGTGGGCTTAATTTTACCTTGACTTGGGACTAATATCCCGCATCCAAGGTAATCGAGTCTACGTCTTGTCACCGCTGGGCAGTTGCATAGAACATGTTCTGATGTTTCCTTTTCCTCATGACAGAGTCGACAGGAGTCACTTTCTACCACACCTATAATTTTCATGTGGTAATTAAGTCTACAGTGTCCTGTAAGAAGTTCAGTGTAGATTATATTTATAATATAATTTAAATCAATATTGTTAGTACAATTTATCAAAAAAAAAAATTCCGCAGTAAGGCAGGCTCTTTATGTACAATGCCTCTCTATATTTTGCAGTCCTATTGAATATAAAATAAATATCTATCAGATAAAAAAGAAGGCATTTATTTTATATAAATCATCTAGACAATTATAGCTAAACGTTATGATCGGTATTTCTAGAACAAATAGACTAATTTTTCAGCTAAAGGCCGGTAGTTCGTTATTAAAGGCGAGAATAAAGTTTTGATGAAACTTGCGTTCGGATATGTGAATATCTGACTCCACACAATCTTAAAACTAAGATTTATTATAGATTCATTTCCAATTTCATGGTCAATGAAAGCATGTAGTTCAATTGAAACTGTTACACTAATACCAATTGTTTTCTTGAGAACTAAAGAAATACTCCGATAACGACAGTATAGGAAATCTGATAAGGAATGTAGGATAAACTATTATCTATACATATAAAACCTTGTTGGTTTTATAGAGAATACAATGAAATCTCAAAAAACGTATTTTTTCGACACTGCTGCACAAATGAAAGTTACTTAGTTTTGTAAATTAGGTTCGATTCCTGTATTCACTTTATGAATCCATGAATGGAGCACAATAATGTTTCTATAGGCCTTGAAAGTGGAAAGTATTTGTTTGTAAAGGAAAAAGGAAAAAGATATGTACGTGTTGTGATTGAATTATGTGATTGAATCATTACAAATGAATACCCAAGAAATGGGTGGTTATCTTCAAAAATGGTTGTACTAGCTTAGTTAAACATTGCTTTGTATAGTTAGAAGTTAGATATAGTGCCAGCATAGTTGAAAACGTCAAAACAGTATATGAATTGGACAATCATTGAGTAAGAATCATGGAGCTTACTAAGTCTTTGAGTATATGACTGTATTTGGAACGCTACTTCTCTGTTGCAATAAATTACGGTATTTGAAATACTACCTCTCTCATATAATGAAATGAGAAATAAGAAATAAGTAAGGTTAAATGGATATATAGAGATGCGGGTAAAAAATCTAAATGAATCACAATTTCATTTTCATATCTAATAAATAGCACGTAAATAATTATTATGTTTTAAATGAAGCGTTAAGTCTAAGATGTACCTACAATCACACACTAGCATCATAAATGCAGAGTTTAATTATAATACATTATTATATATAAAGTCTTTCTTTCTTTCAAAATTTTTAATTTTGTAAATTAACAAAAATAAAAAACAATGCAATTTTTTTCTTAAATGTTACTTATCGCGTTGGCAATTGGTTGGTGACATTTTAACCGTTAGAGTTGATAAATGCATTTCTTATCAAACAACCGAATGCATGGAAGATCAGGTTAGAACTGCATATAGATTAGCACAATATTTCTTCGTATAAAAACTCATGGAAATCAATAAAGATCGCACACTTTATTCTAGAGAGTCAAAGCATTAATTGAATTAAGCCAGACATGTTGGACTTAAGTGGTAAAAATGTTGTTTATGTGGGTGGATTCAGTGGAGTTGGCTATCAGGTTTGCCGTATTCTGATGCAGAAGAAGATCAGTGTATGCATCTACATTTCAAAGTGATTATCGGAACGAATTGAAAATATAATTGTTTTTCTATTACAGCATTTATTTGTCTGCAGTCGCATGGAAAATATGGAATTATTAAAGGTATTGCAGGATATTGCACCTACGGTTAATGTAGTTTTTGTAGGTGTTAATATTTTGAATCGAGTAAGCATTGAGAAGGCTGTTGCGCAAATAGTTGGAGTAGTAAAACATATTGATGTCTTAATAAATGGTGTTGGTGCTTTGGCTGATAAGGATGTTGAGACCACAATTGGTCTTAATTTGGTAACAGCATTTTCCAACACTTATTTATAAACAATATTGAGTATTCATTTTTTTATATCACACAGGCTGGCTTAATTAACACCACATTTGCTTGTTTGCCTTACATGGATAAAACTCAAATGGGTCATGGCGGTGTTGTGGTGAATATTGCTTCAGTATTTGGCTTAGAACCTGCTACCCCATTTGCGGTATATGCCGCTGCTAAGCATGGTGTAGTTGGATTTACGCGTTCTATGGGCGAATCGCATTACTATCAGAAAACAGGTGTTTGCTTCGTTTGCGTCTGTCCTGGTCTCACTTCAACAGAATGGATGGTTAATTTACGTGAAAATGTAACTTGGGAGCATCATTCAGATGAATGGTTGAATCTTGTAAGTGATTCTAAACATCAGACTCCAGAAGAATGTGCTAATGGTGTAGTCAAAGCTGTAGAAGTGATGAAAAATGGTGGTGTCTATATTTGTCAATCCGGACAAATTAAGGAAGTTCAGCCTACAACTTATTGGCATATGCAATAACATAATTATAGAAAAAGTTGTATGATTTTAAATAAATGGTGATGAATTAATTATTGCATTGGGCTATATCACTATTTTTAGTTATGTTCAAAATTTAAATAAAGTCAAATAAGTTACTTCTGATATTTAATACAAACATGTGCTGTTTATTAATATAAATCAATAAATAAGTCTGAGGCACGAAAAAAATTCAGTTTATACATAAACATATTGTCAGGAGAATCTAAACTGCGTTTTGCTGACTTTTAGAATCACTCTCATTTCATAGTTACTAGATGTGAAAAATTATTGCTGTGATCCAACAACAGATCGTAGATCTTCCGTAGATCGGTAACTACAAAGAATTGTACGGATTTGTTGGCCTTAACTTATATTAAATTCCGATCTGTTGGCTCGCGTACAATTCAAATACAAGAAACAAAAAAATTCGGCTAGGCAAGTGTTGGGGCAAAACCATATCGGCCAGGTGTTCCAGCCTTAACTTGCAGAAAACAATAGACCACGAGCTAAGTATAGACTATTTCTAGAATTATATCATTTTCCATTTATATAAAAAATAAAAACGAACTTACAAATGATGTTTTGTGTGATTGATTTGTACCGTGCATTAGTTAAGTTTTTGATTCTAGATAATAAATTTGTTACCATTCTCACTAAGTCACACTTGCAGTTGTGTTTTTCAATAATTTATAAAAAAATTTGTAATTTCTAATACAAATTATAATTATATCATAAGAAAGTACATTTCGGAAGTTCGTTTCTCTCTAGATCTTTCAAAATATACATGTTTGATCCCTTTGGACGTTCTTTATTAACTATCGTTTTGATTTCAGTTTATAGTTGAGGAACCAGATTACAGCTATCATTACATATTTGTATGTAATTTGTACATTTACGATTTTTAAAAACCATATTATACACTTTCTTGAATCTGATTGTTCTACATCGGCAAAAATGAACAGTCAAAATGCTTTAGGTGTGGCAATCGCAATCTGTCACATATGTTTTCAAAGTTGCAGAATTGTATTCTGAAGTCCTCAGGTTTTGAACATTAAGTTCTTCTTATAATTAGAGTTGGACTTCTCGTTTACAAGAATGGGGAAACAACACATTTTACAGCACCGACGATAAATAAAGAGTTTTAAAGAATAGCCAATTACAAAATCAGGAACTTATAACGAAATACTTTTTGAGTTCGTTTTGTTGGTTTTTAACATTAAAGACGAATTATATAGTTAAGATTTTCTAATGTACTTATTCAAAAATAAATTGTATTTATTTCACCAAAAATTATTTCCATATCTTATATAAAAATCCATATATTAACAAAATAAATTATTTTATATAAATCATTCAAAGGTCGGAGTCCACACTACAGGAAATTCCAATTCCTTCAATGTACCCAAATCAATTAACCAGACAGAACCATTTTTACCAGACTCAACAGCTTTAACTAAGCCTTTAGCACATTCCGTAGCTGTTTGTTTCTTAGCTTCGGCAAACCGCTTGAGCATGGGTTCACACTTTTCAAAAGTTGGATTGTTGTATGCAACTCCTAATAAATTGGTTTCTGTGAAACCGGGGCATATTGTAATAAAGCCTATACCAGTAGTATGATAATAGAATGGATTCTGAAAAACATGAAAAAATCAGAAATGGACGCGATTATTAAAATCTATTAAAACTTACCGCTAAGCCACGGGTAAAAGCGCTAACTCCAAATTTACTTGCTGAATATACGGCATACATGCCAGCTGGTTCTATGCCAGCTACAGAGGATATATTAACAATAAGTCCACCTTTGCCATTATTTAATTTACTCATATATTTCATAGCAGTTAATGTACTGTGTATTAGCCCCAACTAAGTGTTGAAATATTAAGAAATAGTTCTTATGAAAAGATTTTATGACTTACTAAATTAATTTGTATAGTCAGTTCGATAAGACTATCATTCATAATGCCACACCCATTCACTATCACATCAAAGTGATCTATTTTATTTGCAGCTTCATTGTATGCTGCTTCAATGCTATTTTTATCGGTAATATCCATTTTTATATAAAAAACATTAGATGCCGTATAGGTGCTCCTCAAATTCTCCAGCACAGCTGCATTTTCGTGCAAATCAAAAATCGCCAAATTCTTTTAAAAAAATATGTCAAGAGTTACTTTCTTATAAATAATTCTTGGCGTATATAATACCTTTATGCCTTTCTGTAGAAATTCTTCAATACATTTGGAACCAATACCACCGAAGCCACCCAAATAAACAACATTCTTGCCACTTAAATCCATTTTGTAATATCGCTAGAGCAATTAGTCGATGCAAAAGTTAACCAACGTATAATCGCACTGCCTACCACTTAAGAAATATTTTGGTAAATTTTATGTTATTTGTGCAAAAATATATTATCTTGTTTTGGAGAGCTTGAGTTTAGCATTGACTTCTGATAAGCTTTGAAAAGCTACATACTACAGAATAACCAAATATATCAAAATATTTGTAATTTATTTAAATGATCAACTCAGTGATCTGTGTTTTCCGGCAGTATTATTGGTTTCTTAGAGCGCAATAAATACGAACTATATATATTATGTATAGAGTGTTAGAAAATTTATAACTTATTATTTATATATTCAGTGTTTTGGTATGATAAAGACGTTATTTATATTACTCCTACTTCTATTCGATTTTAAATGCTGTATAAGCAATATGAAGAATCTAGAATTTTGTAGATTAAGAATTTAAGCTGCCGTTGAACAGTACATGTGGCGTGACTAGTTTAATCTAATGTTGGAAACGATGATCCGTGCAGCAAATTTAAACCGCACTGGCACAACATTCTACAAAAGTGTGTTGCTGGCCTATACACCCGCACCGTCAGTGTGGCATTTTCCAATTTAGAAAAACAAGCGAATCAAATGGATCTTGCCGTTAATGAAGACAAAATAAAGTTAATAACCAAGTTGTAAAAGACTTTGTTTATTTGAGAACCAGCGTAAACACCAATACTAACGTCAGCCTCGAGATTCAACAAAGAATCTCTATTGGCAATAGATATTATTTCGGGTTAAAAAGCCAATTGATAACTAAAGCAGTCTCTCGACAAACATAAATCAAAAATCACGCTCTATAAGTTTCTTATCATTTTTCTCCTGCTGTATGATATAGAAACTTAGACAATTACCAACAGTGAT